ACACATGAATGTTGGTTGACAGATGATTAAACTCAAATCACTTGTGTTTGTGTATGTGTTTATATCTTTCAGTCCGAGTGGCAGCCGGTGTTTCTGAAGAAGAGGGAAGGTGCTTAAAGTGAGCCAAAGTGTAAAGAGGTTGCTGAGTTTTTCAGCAATAATGCAGCCTGTGTGTGTGTGTGTGTGTGTGTGTGTGTGTGTGTGTGTGTGTGTGAGGACCTCTGAGCATCATGGGCAAATGTCTGTAATGAGTGGGAGGTAAACAGGGGTGAGTTCTCTTTTATTCATAAGGCAAACAGAGACTGTGTGCAGTGAATGGGAATAAGTGTGTGATGATTTATTTAAAGCTATTTGTTTCAGGCTAATTTCCCCCTAAAACAAGCACAACTCTTTACCCGACTCTGTCCCTTGATGTCTCCGGGTTATGCACCTCCTTTGTATTGTAATGCTAACGTACACAGTGCGAAGGAATAATTATTGCAAAACGACCCAGAAAAGCAGTTAATGCAACAGCTTTTTTAGATTGGATAAGATAGATTTAATTTCAAACATGTAGAAAATAATAACAAGAAAACAAAACAAGAATAACCAATAAAATGAAGAGTGGGCATATACAGCAAATTCGAAATAAACAAAAATGCTGGAAAAGGAGTAAACACTTATAAGGTCCTACCCCTTTCTGTAATTTAGATAACTTAAAATAAAGTTAAATACTTAATGTTTATTGCATACACACACACAAATAAAGCATCTTAATACATAAAACAAACACAAGGTTACCGGATTGTTCATCCCCCTGATTACAGTCCAGGACTCTAACTTTACTCAGGTTTCCGATCGTTTGACATCTGTGTGTTTCTGTCACCTCAGCAGTTTAGGATTTAGTGTCTGGCTGCATTTATCACTCTCCGCTGGATCTGACCTAATCTGACCATCTACGGTATCATGTATATTTTTGGTTTTATTACAGCATGCGTAAAGATACGTGCTAACAGTTTATCAGCCACCCAAATGTTTCTGTGCAGAGTCTCCACTGGTTGCCTTTCAAACTCACTGTGACAACAAGTCATTGCGCCTGCGATTGACATAAGAAATAGTTAAAGCACGTAATCCTCCAAAAAAACACAAACTTTGATCTTTACATTTATTTTTCTGTGCAAATAAACTAGATTAACAACATACATCATGTTTATTAGTGAGCTTTAGAGGTGTTGGTAGGTGGAGTTTTCTTAGCTAGGCTAGCTGTTTCCCCTCTATTTCCACTCTTTATGCTACGCTCGGCTAATTGCCTCCTGGTTCTGCTCTCAGACTTAAAAGTGCAAGAAATGAGATGGAGAGCATTTCAATTGCCTCTCAATGGCTCTCGACATGGTGAAGGCGAGCCGGCGGCTCAAAGATAACGGTGCTAACAGCGCTAACAGTCTTTAGCTGAGGGGGAACCAGAGGGTGCTTCTGTAGCAGTCCAGAGGGGCGGCCATGAGCTATTGTCATATAGAAGCATCAGTATTAAATAGAGGCCGTTTCATAACCTGTTAAAAGTTCCTTGTAGTAACTTTATTGTTCAGTCAACACATCAGCTAACTCTACCACAGTGTTCTAGTTTATTTAGATGTAACCCATGGTATATTTGGGTTTCTGAAAACCAGAATGAGGACTGTGTGCATGCACAAACACATCAAGACGACTCTCCTAGACCCGATATAACCTACTAGCATCCATGCGTGATTGTTTGACTAAAAGGTTCCAGCGCTGAGTCGCGGGGCTGACAGAGCCCTCCACTAACAGGCCAAACGTCTCCTCCCCCGAGGACGTTCGGGGCTCTGCCCCCTCAGACGATCTGGCCGTCTTGTTTAGAGTTCTGTCACCCTGCTTTCCATCCAGGAGAAGGAAAATTTGAGCTTAACATGAACACATATTTAGTCATGTGTCAGGATCAATTATCGCCCTTTTGAAAAGCAGGCAGCTCTTTTGAAGAAGGTTCTCTTCAGGACGGATGCGTGAAAACCTCCAAGTCAAAACACACATGTCTGGAAAAGAGTCCCCGCTCCCAGACAATCTTAATTGCAAATTTTCTACGTTGTCTGCTGTGCGCCGTGCACAGAAGTGACAGTTCAAAGAGCAGTCCCTCCGCTTTATTACTGCTGGCATGCAACGGGTTGGTGAAATGCCTTTTCATTTCGAACAAACGATCGGTCACTTTCACGAGAACGACTTTAAAACTTAAAACCGACAGTTTCTCTGCAGCGTGGCTAAACATTTCTTTCTTCGTGTACATCGTTTGCAGGCCGCAATCTGTCCGTCCTGTCACAGTGAGGGAAATCTGCAGTGTGGTTCAAAAACAAAACATTGAAACGAAACAAAACTCTGCCGCAGAAGACAAGAAAGTCTTTCTGTCCCCAGTCGATGCATGCGATACTTTATGTTTTAATGTAAAGGCATGTATGTTTACTGGCCTGCAGAATGAAACACAGGTTTCTTGGTTACATCTGGCCACCGGTTAACACGCAAAATTCTGCTTTGATGTCTCTTGAGGATACAGAGTCCTCGACAGAAAAAGAAAACTTGAAATTGAAAGTGTGACTCGCCCCCCCTCCCCTCCCCCTCGGCTGTTTTGATCAGGGTTGTGTGTGGAGCGTGCCTGCCGGAGATATTTGCTCAGACTTGGCTGTGGATTAAAGGCTTCTCTTCTGGGATCCAGAGAAAACAGAGGTCTGATCCCCCCTCCATGTCCCTCCGAGGGGGCACAAGTGGGTGGCGACCGGGCTCGTGTGTGCGAGCGGTTACATGTGACACAGTGTGAAGCCGCGTCTGCATGTATCTACATAAGTGTGTGCACTTAAAGAAAGACGCACCGACGACTCCGGGTGTGCATGAAGGCTCTCCACGCTGCCTTCTTCTTCTCCTTCAGAGCAACTTCTCTGATCTCCTCACTCCATCATTTTACACGGCCTACTAGATGCTCATGGCACATCACATGCAAGTACACACACACACACACACGCTCAGAACCTTGTTTTTATAAAGTGCTGGCGGGGTTGTTATTGCACAGCCCACCCATCTCTTGCCACGCTCCAGGCCCAGAGTTGCGTGTATGGAGAAGGGGGTCTGGATGAGTGGAGGTTTTGGTGGCTTACTTAGAGTTTAAAGAGAGGGGGGGGGGGCTGGGGGGGCAAGCTAATTGTGCACAGGTGACTCCACACAGGTGCTCTGGCGTCTATATACGTGTGTGTTTGTGAGGGAGAATGATGCCGTATTGATGGAATAAGCCAAAGAAGCATTACAGGGGGAAATATGAGAAGAAAGAAAAATGCGGATCAAAGAGATTTTTGAGGCTACCAGAAATTCCTGTCTTTCTGCAGCAGCTCTCCCCCAACCTCAAAAAACCCACTACATGCGGTCAGCTGTTTTTCAATAGACAGACTTCAAGTCTCCCCCCCCCACCCCAGGTCCCTAACACTGGTATTGAGCCGAATGCTCTCTGACAGGGTTGATCTGTGCGCCGTCCCGGAGCAGATGTTGGCATTCCATTTTCTCTTTCATACTTTCAAACCTTCAGGGGATTGAGCGGGAGGATGAAAATGGTCTGTGTTTATTAAAGTGTGGAACCGTCTCTGAAGAGCAACCCCCCCGCCCCCCCCCTCCGCTGACCCACTCAGGAAGAATAAACAAGCAAATTGAACAAGTCAACAAATGGACATCGGCCTCCCGTTCCCTTTCTGCTCCCACGACTCAAAGCCACGAAACCTTATCGACGATCATCGTGAATGCGCTTCAGAAATTTGTCGACTTTTCAACAGGTTGCCTCCTCTCGCCGTGGTTCGTCTGCCGAGTGCCTGTCGGTGCAAATTTCTCAAATCCGTCAGCAGACCGCGCGGAGGGAGAAGGCCCGAGAGATTCCTTTAGCAAAAAAGAAAAACAAACAGGTGCAGCGGGAGGAGGAAAGAAAAGATGGAGACGGGGGAGAAAATGACAGCTGGTCCCTCCAGGCACCAGCTGTCATTGATTCACTGTATATACACACCATTACATTAAGACTACAGTTATTCTGCACAGTCACGGAGGTGTTTGCTGTTTCAAGCTGTCAGTTTGTACCATCCTCAGGAGGAGGTGGAGGTGATGTGCAAGAGGTGTGCGTGCTTATTGCTCGGGAGAATCAGTCAGGCCTAGACGGGGCTTGTTATTCAGATTAATCAACACTCAAAATATACACAGCCTGCGTATGTAGCTGCACTTCAACCACTTCAGTTAGATGCTTTTCTACCATTCAAAAATGATTTCTTTAATCTGTTAATGGCAAAATCTTCTTTAAAGCATGCCAGATTAAGCATGGTTTTAACCTTGAAGTAGTCGCCCCGGAAGTATTTTACATTCCGAGGCATTTCTTGCAGATTGGTTGCTGTGGGACATTCATTAACCTGAACAATCGACGATCGGGCTGTTGGGGCGATCGGGCGAATTTCTGGCAAATTACAAATTTTGGTTGATCGTCTTGTTTGTGCAGATCGATGATCCCACTTTCCAAATGGTGTCCACCAATATATACTGTATAACAAACTTCGTTGTGGGCTTGTTTTAACATGTATTTTACATATTATCTTTATCTGTAGAACCATGTTGTCCGAGCAGTCCTGTCCATATTATTTTGTTTCTTCCCATATAATTGAAAGCCGTTCTGTCTTTTTCTTTTCCGTCAGCATTTTGGGCAAACCTCCATATTGTTTGAATAAAACTTACCGGGAGTTCCGTTTCTGTGTGAACACCAATGTTGTGACCGGTCGATCAAACCCTTGGTGAGCAAACTGTACATATGTACTGTATGCACATCCTAGTTTAAACACTAGCTGCAGCCTAAATCAGGTGGAATTATCTCCGTCTTAACCTCTTAGCACAGAAACCAATACTTTACCATTTCTGCCTGTTCTGTTAGTTACAGATCTTACATTCACATCGTCATTGTAATCTTCAAAGACGGCCCTGAGGCCATGAACAGAAACCACTATGTAGCTTCTGCCTGTTTAAACTTGCCATGCACCAAGTTAAACTAATACTTTTTGTAATAAATGCGTTTTCTATGGCGGATGGGCTGATTTGATTTTCTTGACCCGTGACTCTGATATTTTTCTGTCTGTGGCCCCGAACCATAAAAGTTTGACCACCCGTGATGTTACCTCACACTGTGTAATGTGAGTTAACAAAACATACAAGATTAATAACATTGTATCCCCAGCTTAAGTAGTACACGGTCTGAATATGTACTGTGTGTGTGTGTGTGTTAGTTTTGTTGTACGCTGTGCATAAATGATCTTCTTCTACGTTAAACTCTACGTGTTAGCTGGAAGGAATAAGAGCCTTTCCAAGCCAAGAGAGTGCCACTCCAACTTTCTTGACAATGTCCCCCCAAAACAAGCCGCCAGGAAACCTGTAATAAGTCTCCCAGATTGGAAGCATCGTTTCTTTGACGCTCTGCCCCGGAGGCTGGACCGAGATAGGCAGAGACAATATGTGAAGGTGTAACCGGAGAGATAGGAAAGCGCTCGTATGATTCAGCAGGAAGCTGAGCTTGCTGGAATGACTCCCTTACGTCGTGGATATGGTACGCTATCCTGTTAGTATGCATGCATCTCTGAGATGGAATCATTTCCATGACAAATATATATTTAAAGGCCAGTATAAATACAATATTTATATTTAGCATTTTTTTTTATTCAAGGAGTGCCTTAAAAATCCCAACATCTTAAGAAAACAACAGTCAGAACAGCACAATTAGATTGGTAATATAACCCCCCCCCCCCCTCAAACAAAAATCTATATTAGGCTCCTCTCTGATGCTCACACCAAAACACAACATGGTTTTGAGTCCTTTGAGGCACATCTGCTTTCAGAGAGTGACTCACAATACAAGTAGACAGAAATTAGGAACACAACTCGGCCATTGTTCTCGTGCTCCCCGGGTTTAAAAACACTTCCACGCACACATCGCCTCGAGGCGAGCGAGGCCAGTGACATCAAGTGTATTCAATTCACAGGGAGGCATGTTGAGGAAATTTGAGTCACAGTTCGCGAAGGAGTCGCTGTTGCTTGAATAACAGCGAATGCCGTCTTCGCCTGTAACTTCATTAGCTGAAGGGCGGGCGAGCGACCCTCGAAATAACAAACTCACAGCTCTGGCACTGAAAGCTACGACGAGACGTTCCCACGCTGTCGAGCTAATAGATACTAGAACGGACCACCTGAAAGTAAAATGAGGATAGCGTGTTTTTAGAATAAAACAACAAACAAAACTCTAAAGGCATGGGAATAATAATAATTAGAGAGCAAATAATCTCTGAGGAGTTATTCAACATACATACATACTGCTTGTGTACTCGAATAAATACATTTCAAAAATACATATATTTTCATATTCTTTTTTTTTTTTTGCTAGAAAAATGTTCAAATTTTGAAAGCAGCTATGTATGTTTAAAATATGGCATTAAAACACTGCTTTCATCAAAAGCCCCTGGACACAATGTGATTTCACCCATCTTCTTAAAGAAGCACTGCATACAATATGAGTCACAGCCGAGGACTCTGAACTGAAAAAAAAAATAAAATAGTGCAGGGAGATATGACGCGACTCCTTCAACAACTCAATGTTTTCAGAAGAAAATATCTCCTTGATTGCGGATTAGAGGCAGCTCTGACGATGAAAATGTAACAGTGAGTTATTGCATATCTGGGAGCCACATATTGCTTAGAGTTGCTGCTGAGGACGGGGTACTGGGAACACTGTTTGGGGACTAAAGTCAGAATATTTCAAGAATAAAGTCCCATATTTTGAGAAAATGTCAGATATTTTAGCAAAAATAATTTAAGATATTTTAAGAATGCATTTTGGTTGTTATATTCTCGAATATATATTTATATATCATGTGAACTATTTTGTAAATTTAAAACAAACTATTAAATACTTAAATTTGAATCTTATATTTGACTAGAATAAAGTCTAACAAAGTCATATAACAAGTATGAGGTAAGATATTTATGAGAAATCATCGTAATATTATAAGTATGAATCATTTTATAGAATAGAATAAGTTATGATTTCAAGAACAACTTAAATGAAATAACTGCATTGGCCTGGATAGATTAGCATGTCTTAGCATTGCCCGACTCGCCATAAATAATATAAATATTTTTGCTTGCTAAAACACGGTTTGTACAAAGTAAGTATTGTGCTATTCACAAAATATTCTAATTATTTTTCATAGATTTTACAATTGAATTCCTTTAAAATTGTAATATTAGACAAGTTTCTGGTAAGATTATGACTTTTGTTGATAATATTATCTTCCCCCCGTAGAGTGCTCCTCATACTCCGCTACAGCAGTTCCGACAGTCCTCAGTGAAAAACACATTCAGTCATCCCAGCCAAAAAAGCGCTCCGTCATCTGGTAGAACTTCATGTTGAAGGGCCTGTAGAAGTCCCGTAGCCTCTGCACCACCTCTGGGTCAATGTTGGGGTGGGTCCGCCCTTTGGTTTTGCCCAGGCAGTGGGGCTTGCTGCTGCCCTCGGCCTTCTTCAGGCACGGGAAACCCTTGGTCTGGTTGAAGTAAAAGTGTTTGTCCGTGATGATCCTCTTGAGCCCCAGGAAGTCCTGCACGCGGCCCAGCTCTCCGGCCGGGTCGCTGATCAGCCGCTCGCCGCTCACAAACAGGATCTGCTCCATGGGGAAGTACTGCAGCCAGTTGTCCAGGTGCTTGGCGTAGATGCCGATCTGGATGGCGCTCCACGAGGTGTCGATGAGCCCCGAAGTCCTGTTTTTGAAGGTGAGGCTCTCGAAGGAGGGAATGTCGGGCTTCTTGGACAGCGTCTGCGTGTAGTCCGAGATGGCCCTGGTGACGGGGTCCCTCACTACCACGATCAGCTTGGTGTCCCGGGACATGGCAGCGATCCTGGCTGGAGCCTCTCTGGTCACAAAGTAGCTGGGGGTTTTCTCCATGGTGATCTGGCCCTCCAGAGTCTTAGGCATCAGCTCCCTGAGAGGAGAAAAACAGAAAAAAAAGGAAGTGAGATGTTTGTTTGACCTGCACTCCTGACTGAACTGTCGCAGTTGTACGGCCGCTCTTATTACAATAAACATTACAACTGGACAGCTATGTCATCAAAAAACGTTGAATCCAATCAATCCAGAATAACACTGGAAACAGTTAGTTTGCAGAAGGTTATTTATTTGATCTCTATCAGGTGTCTTTGAGCTCAATTAGCTGCCAAGAGGTGTGACCAAAATGTTGATTTGCAGTTTTGGCGCGGCACCGTGCTCCGGATGTTAAAGACATTCTTGTGGTGATGGTACGCAGATGCTGCCTCAAGTGTTCCTTAATGTAGCCCGAGGGCTTATGAAATCAAGAAGGGGACTCCCCTGGGTCCATTTTGAAAGGGTGTATTCTTCACCATCACATGGCGAGAAAAGAAGAACGTCAATCTCTACATCAAGACTATAGCGCTGCTTCTAAAATATTGATATTTGAGCAAAAAGGCACTCCCAGCATAATTGATCTCCTTCCTGTCTTTCGCTTGTGCCAACAAATGGTGCAGGAACATCAGAAAGGTATTTTAGTATTGTGGTTTAACGATTTGCTGTTTGTAAAGCGCTCCACACACAGAAACTATGGTCATAGATTGGTATTTTAAATGACTTCACATCCTAATGAAGAGTACAGTAAACTTTAAGACAACCTCTGTATTATCAATTATATGTATCATATTATATGGAGCTTGAAAGCATCATAATGCAACTCAATTGCACCTCAGTTAACGTTAGCCGTTAGCTCGGTTATTTAGCCAAGCAGGACCGTGCTGCCCACCGGCTGCTAACAGCTCACGTTAACTAGCTCTCCTAGTGCCGATTTCAATACGAATTTGTTGTTCACAATGCGGCATTATCAGGGGAAAAAATAAGCTGAACGAGTGTTCAACAACAGGTTTGTAGTACTAGACTGCACACGTGCAGTAGCGATCACGCAGGAGCTAGAATATAGAAATGATAAAACGGGATATCCGATTGGTGCATAGACTCGCAGATACCCGATCCAGGCTGTATCGGAGGCGTTTCAGATACTGGTGTCAGAGCAACTCTACTTATAACATTAATTTGGAAAAATCTCCTCATATGTGCTTGAGTCCTTTCAGCCAGAAACTCACAAAAAACACGGGAAAACCAGCGGATCCATTCGGCCACGCCACCCTTCTTCTTCTACTCCTCTTTCTCTACTTTCCTTCTGCCCAGCTGCCTTCAGGACGGTGACCTTAAGCAAAGCGGGTAAAAGCAGCCCATGAATGATTAACGCGCCCTCCCTCTGCCATTTAGAGCCTCTGCAGAATACGGCTTTAAAATTCACCAAAGTACAGAATGCAGGCGTTAATTATTCATCTGCTTGGCTGCTGCTGCTTAAAGGCAGGACCGGCGCTGACAAAGTGGCCGGGCTGCTCCCAGGGTAGACGCAGTTTGCCACCCGTGACAGAACTACTGAGACCCTAAAGGAGGGAGGTCCTCTGAACAAACAAATAACAGTGCTCTACACTCCAGTCTGTTCACAGGACCACGCGCTGGCAAGCACGAGGACGTGTTGTCAAAGTACCGCCTCTCCCTTCTTACCGCCGAGTGTCTCTTTCTGATGTGATGGGCACCGTTTCTTTTTTCCTGCCTTGCAGAACGAGGCTGGTAAACAATCGTGCTCCGTTTAACATACACAGAATGAGATGAGACAGAGGGCACTGACATCTTTGCAACGGAAAAAGAGCTTAACACAAACAGAGCGCGTTCATAAAAGACACCAGCTGTCACGAAAAGGCTGCTTTCACAAAGGGCTTTCCCCCAACAACAAGTCCTCCGAAGTACACAACTAAATACACACGTTTTAAACTGCCCTCTAGAATGACATATACAAGCTTTTTTTGATCTGAGGCAGCTATGTTTGGTTAGGTACAAAAATGACTTGGTTAAAACAAACCAACAATGGCGACGACCGTATTCCAACATGGCTTTAAACTCAAGGCTTTATAATGGCAGTTCACAAACCAATGGGTGACATCACAATGACTACGTCCACTTCTAATATACAGTCTATGGTCAACACTCTTTTAAGGAGACGATATGGAACAACAGTTATGACAATGAAACCATGTCAGAGGAGGAATCCCAAACTGCTGAAGAGTCACCATTACTGAGGTGAGTGCGCCAGCTTTCCTCGTGGCTCTATAAAAAGCTGCCGGTTGAGCTCAACATATGAAGTGAAACAGATCTAAAAGCCATGAGTCAATACCTTCAGGCCAATGTCAAAACACATCCATGCCATGTGTGGCTGAGTGGACCTCCTCTGTGATGAACGGATCACGAGGTCAGCACGAGGAGGGACCCGCAGGAAACGGTCGATAAGTGCAAGACCCGCAACACAGGTGCACTGATGTCTCGACATCCGCCTGACCTCCGGAGTCCTCTCAGTATCGGCGACCTCTCCTACAGCCGTGTAAAGAGCAACATGGACAAGGCTCCTTTCCTCTCACGTTAGCTGATGCCCAATCGCCCCCGAGAGCCCCGAGTGAGGCTGTATAGTGGTGCTTTAAAACAAACCCAACGCCACCGGAGACTGCAATGTCTGCTAAGCTGACACGTCGATAATAAAGAACACAGAGACTAATCATCGATAGGGAGTCTTCCTGAGCGCCTCCCGGGCGATGTCAGCAAAATGCTGATTTGGGATCCGCTAGACTTCAGAAACAGCCCGTGCAGTACCGCAACTTTAGGATTCAAAAAGAGAACATTATGGTTTTATGAAAGAAAGAGATGAGCCCGTACGAAAGGAAGCATCCATATTTGATGGCGTGCGTCAAGCTCGTTCTGCGGTCAATGCACTCACAGCGGTGGTGTGTCGGTGCGAGGGCACTCCGGGGGGATATCCAGGGTCAGTGAGGTATGTGGTATGGTGTGCAACATGAAGACGGCCATGTTTGGGAGTCCAAGCACAGTCATAAGTCATAAAGTGGCTCATGTATCCAGGCTGATGCAAATTTTATAGTTATTGGGAGAATGGTTTCAGGTTCATCTGTGGAGTGCAGCCTTAGGAAACAGATACTGATTAAACGTCATTTAGTTCTGTTCATTAGGCAGATTACATCTAAACATGTATACATGCCACTAATTATTAACTAGTTATTATTTATTCTCGATCGAGCATTGCACTTCTATCACATTATTGGACTCGCAATAATAAAAAAAAAAAAGATGCAGCAGAGTTATCAAATTCATATTCCACTCGTTCTTCCTCTTCTCCTCCTCCAGAGATTTGGGTTATGTTAGCTGCAGCTAATGTAGCCTCCAGCCTTTAGCCTCAAGGAAGAGATGAAGAGTGCCCTCCACACCTGCAGATTCTTTCATTTTCAAACGTGTACTTTCACGTTACTTGAGGCAATTTAATCACTTATCAGCGTAGCTCTTTTCAATTATGCAACGGTGCTCCCAAAAACCTGTAAACAGACTTTGATGTGTGAATGCGGCACACTTCCCCTTTAATAAAAAGCGTCCAAAATGTGTGTAAATAACGAGCTCTCTGGACCCAAGTTGACGTCTTCAAATTATTCATTTTGTCCAAGCAAAAGTCGAAAACGTAAAGACATTTTTTGGTAAATCGAGTTAAATTAAAGTCCACGTGGTTCCTAGTATCTATGACCTGACCTGAGACCCAGGTCAGTCTAATCAGGTAGTGTGTGCGGTGGGTCCACCGCATTTTGATTTAGGTGCAATTATCCTTTGATCTCTGTGGATCAGGTCCGACTGTACTCGGGTCTCCACGGATCAGGTCTATTAATTCATGCATGTCCTATTTGTGTAGATTTTTTAGAAAGGGCTTGCTTTGGATTGGTTCCAAAATGTTAAGACCCCTAAAGCTAATTGTGAGATTTGAGTTGGAACCTGGACAATTTTTGGCATTGATTTCCAAACAAATCATATCGTTGATTAATTTTTCCGTGACCCTTTTTACAGGTCTACAGTAAGTGAACCACACTGGGGTCATTTCTTTCTATTCTGCAGGAGACGCATGCAGCGTGTTCTAATGAAACTTTATTGGGAGGGTAGGTGATGTAACAGATGACCAGCTGTCCAAGTGCTTGATATTTACTGCAGCTCCAGAACCGGCTTTGATGTCTTCATCATGCTGCTAAAATACGACTCCCTGAGCACACTGAGGCATGAAACACAGGCAGCGGGATCCACTCACGAAACAAAACACAGACCCAAAACCCAAATAAGAAACACGGCACATGAACCCCGGCCCGCCTTTAAATCAAAGTCACTGCTTTGGCACGTACATTTGAGTATTGCAGAGAGTAAGAAGACAAAATCTCTGAACGGGTGACGAAGAAGTTTAGAACATAGCAAACAGCTTGTGTACACCACAGAACAGAACAGAACACATGCTGTAATTGTACGTCATTCCTCTCATATGGAACCAACTAGCTCGTGAAGGATGCCAAGACTCATTTAGGCAGCTCTATTCCCCATTTAAAAAACCCAAATCCAACGTACACAGTAATGCGCAGTACATCACTCAATGTGTCCTTTGTAGGCTCATCTATAAAGCAACCACTTTGGAATAAAGGGCCTGACGCATCACTGCTTTCGTTTCCCTACTGAGAGAAATTTTACTCGCAAACTAACTCAACTCTCCCCTCGTATTCAGGCTGTGACTCATGTCTGCCTGCTATATGAATGCCAGAAAAAAAGTCTGAATGCGCCATAAGGTCTTATTTACTGTAAATCGGGTGCACGCATAACATGACAACATGACATATGAATTAGGGAAAAGTAAAAAGCTAACGAGTGATCGGCTCTGAACGGGCCACTTTCTGGTGTTGTCCCGGGCCTTTCAGAAAGCGGCTTGGATCTGGGCCAATGTCTGTCAATTGACGGGAATTGTAAAGACATAGAGGCAAGTGGGCATGAGTGCTGTCCACTCCCCCCCACAAGCCTTTGATTCAT